ATAATATATCCAATTAAAGTCCTATCTATCTGGTTTTCAAAGATTCAAACCACTCATCAATTGGATTTTTATTTAGCAAATTATAACTAATTAACTACTAACTGTTCAGTGGAAATCTAGAAACAGAGGAAACTAAAATGTGTGTGATGATAAAAGGATTGGTTCAGAAGTGGGGATATAGTTATCCGAATTAAGTATAGAATGTATCAATTTAAAGCTCTGTCTGTCTAGTTTCTAAAGATTTAAACCTCTCATCAATTGAATTTTTATTGGGCAAGTTATGGTCAATTTACTACTGATTGTTCAGTCGAAGTCGAAATGTGTGTGATGATGAAAGGAATGGTTCGGTAGTGGGGCTACAACTATCTAAATTAAGCGTATAATATATCAAATTAAAGCACTGTCTGTCTAGTTTTTAAAGATTGAATCATCTCATCAGTTGGATTTTTATTGAGCAAGTTATAGTCAATTTACTACTGATTGTTCAGTAGAAAATAAAATGTCTGTGTTAAATAAATGAAATTAGTTATATTCAACAACAACCTCTTTTCATGATATATGTATGTAACATAAAAAGATATCAACAAAAAGAGATAGAACAGTTACAATTAAAACTACATATCAATATTTGTTTTCCTTTAAGGATAATAATAATTGTTTGGCATATTATAAATGGTTTACTAAAACTACATGGTTCGGCAACAAACATCAAATGATATTTATGATACAAATAAAATTTGTTATATTCAGCAACAACTTGTTTTCGATATATGTATGTAACATAAAAAAATATCAACAAAAAGCGATAGAACAAATACAATTAAAATTGTATATCAATATTTATTTTCCTTTGTCATCACTAAAATTGAATTGGTTTTATGTGTGTAATTATAAAATGAATGGTTCTGCAGTAGGTCTATAGTTATTCAAATTTATTATATAATATATCAAATTAAAGTTATATCTTTCTAGTTTCCAAAGATTCTAACCACTCATCAATTGAGTTTTTATTGAGCAAGTTATGGCCAATTTATTGCTGATTGTTCAGTAAAAATCGAGAAACAGTGGAAACCAAAATATGTGTGATGATAAAAGAAATGGTTTGTAAGTGGGGCTACAATTATCCAAATTAAGCATGTAATATACCAAATTAAAGCCCTATCTGTATAGTTTCTAAATATTTAAACCTCTCATCAATTGGAATTTTATTAAGTAAGTTATGGTCAATTTACTACTAACTATTCGGTGGAAACCGAAATGTGTGTGATAATAAAAGGAATGGTTTGACAGTAGGGCTACAATTATCCAAATTAAGAGTACAATATATCAAATTAAAGCCTTATCTGTTTCGTTTTCAAAGATTCAAACTACTCATCAATTGAATTTTTATTGAGCAAGTTATGGCTAATTTACTACTGACTGTTCAGTGGAAATCGAGAAACAGGGGAAACCAAAATGTGTGTGATGATAAAAGGAATGGTTCGACGGTGGGGCTACAGTTATCCAAATTAAGCGTATAATATATCAAAATTAAATCTCCATCTATCTAGTTTCCAAATATGCAAACCTCTCATAAATTGGCTTTTTATTGAGTAAGTTATAGTCAATTTATTACTAACTATTCAGTGGAAGCTGAAATGTGTATGATGATGAAATGAATGGTTCAACAGTGGGGCTACAGTTATCCAAATTAAGTGTATAATATATCAAATTAAAGCATTGTCTGTCTAGTTTCTAAAGATTCAATCCTCCCATCAATTGGATTTTTGTTGAACAATTTATGGTCAATTTACTACTTATTATTCAGTGGAAATTGAAATGCGTGTGATGATAAAATGAATGGTTTACTTGACCCAAATTTAAGGAATTATCATATTAGTACTTATAAGAAATATTTCAAATAACACCTATAAATTGAAAAATGGAATCAACCAAAATTAATTCAGTTAACATATATACTCGCACATCAACAGGACATAAACAATTAATCATTCATATAACAAATTAAAATACATGAACATTTTTACAGAAAACATATTCAACACAAATGAACTGTTTTACTAATATATAGATATGACACATACTCACAATTCGGCTGATAATAGGATCATCCTCGATTTAATCGTAGTAAAATACATGAATATTTTCTTGAAAACAAACATAACAAAATTTAATCGATCTTTATTTTAAGATTGTTAAGGAACAATTATTCATACGTATAACAATTGTTACCTGAAAACGAAATCAATAAAAGTTAATTAATCTTCATATTAAAATTGTTAAGGAATACACTTACCGTTCGATAGGACTAACACAATTAATTATTCAAATAGATTGGCCGAACAAAAATAATCATTCAACCAAATAATGACCATTAAAATAGTTAGAAGATATACTTACAATTTCATATTAAAATAGTTAGAAGATATACTTACAGTTCAGAAGGACGAATCAAAATAACAACTCATTTGACAATGTCAATAGGACATCCTTCCTTTATTCCATGTCAATTAATCATTCATATAACAAATTAAATACATGAATATTTTTACAGAAAATATATTCAACACAAATGAACTGTTTTTACTAATATAGATATGACACATACTCACATTTCAGCTGATAATAGGATCATTCTCGATTTGATCTTAGTAAAATACATGAATATTTCCTTGAAAACAAACATAACAAAATTTAATCGATCTTTATGTTAAAATTGTTAAGGAACAATTATTCATTCGTATAACAACTGTTACCTAAAAACGAAATCAACAAAAGTTAATTAATCTTCATATTAAAATTGTTAAGAAATACACTTACTGTTCGATAGGACTAACACAATTAATTATTCAAATAAATTAACCGAACAAAAATAATCATTCAACCAAATAATAACCGTTAAAATAGTTAGGAGATATACTTACAATTTCGTATTAAAATAGTTAGAAGATATACTTACAGTTCAGAAAAACAAATCAAAATAACAACTCATTTGACAATGTCAATCGGACATCCTTCCTTTATTCTATGTCAATTCATGAATTTTTGACTTGTAAACAATAACAAAAACATAAATAAATAAAAAATCATGAAGAACAGACATACTATTGACACAAACTAACATGACCTATAAACAATTAACAAAAGATCATATGTATTGTTGATCCCAACTATCATATTGCGATAATACACAATTGAACATACGCCCCTTTTATAACCCTTTATTTAGACTTTTCGAATGCCAACACAATTAAATACGAATTGAATATGAAGAAAGGTTTGCAATGTCAATACAATGCACCTATATAATTATTAATAAACATGTATATTTTTACTACTAATGCAATGCACCTATATAATCAAATCTTTATGTCTATTTATTTAGACTTTGGAATACCAACGCAACAATTAATATTGTCTATATCATTAGTAATAAAATTCAACCACATGGCAATCATAAATCTAAGGTGTCATTATGGTTAGACATTTAAAATGCTAATACAATACACATATATTATTATTATTAATTATTAATACATATCCCAGTTTTTAATTAATTAATAATTATAGATAGAACAATAAATATCAACCCAATGTGTCAAGATAGAACAATTTGATTGGCTTGTTAATCCAATATATCAAAATAGAGTAATTTTAGAGTTTCTAAAATATGTCACGTGTCGATTAACCAATGGATATTCAACTATATATATATATATATATATATATATATATAGTGTTTGATTAAAAATGATTTATAAATTTAATTAAAAACAAGTTAATAATAAAAAATTTCTAATGTTTGGTACACATAATTATCCAGGACAACTAATAACCAATAATGGTGTAATATAAATTACAGATATGTTAATCGGCACTGTTAATTATCATGTGTCACCAACTACATAAATTCATAAATTATCAAAAAAAAAATATATATATATATATTTGCTATTTTTGAACAATGGTCACAATCAAAGTCATTAAGTCTCATTGTCAAAGTAAAAACATTTAAAACAAGAAAATTGTAAAATTGTCACCTTTCCACATTTTGATTTGATGGCTTCAACTATAATACCACATTATAAACTATTTTAACAGGTTTAGTGATTCATAGGAAGTTTTGAGTGTATTATCCAAAGGGTCATAAATTTAAGTCTCTTTTTTATATTTAGGGTAATTACTAAGTCTCTTACTTGATTGCTAGTTTCAGAATCCCAAAAAATTAGTTGAGGTGTTCGTAAACTGGTCCAGACATCCCGATTAAAAAAAAAAGAAACCACATTATATAAGTTTTCCCTTTTTAATTTACAAGTTTAACCTTATAATTTTATAAGGTTTTACGTCAATGTATCTATACAACAACCTATTACAATAAAATCCTAGATATACTATTTTATCATAATAGTTTCACTTTATATTTTACAAGTTTTATGCTGACATATATTGATACACCGTTGTATTATAGTATAATCAAGATTTGATTACAAGTTTTACATTAATTTTATTACCATAATAATAGTTTCAAGTTGTAATTTTGTTTTTACCTTAATATGTTGATACATGCATCTGTTGTCTCATACCCACATTTGATTTCCATAGTATATCAAAAAATAATTTACTTTCCCAAATTATTAAAACAAAATAATTATAGAAATACTTTCAAATCAAAAATATATTTTATTACCATTATTATCTATTACGAATTTTAATCTGATATTTATAATGGAAACAAATTTTAATATAATTAAAAAAATTAATTATTAATTATGAAAAAGAAAAAGAAAATCCAAAAAGAATTATCCATGAAGTGGTGAGTAAGCAATCGGCACAAATCAGGAAAAAATAACAGAAATAGCAGGGACAGTTCTGACATTTGACACAATCCATCACTTCACTCACTTTGGTATAATTTGAGAGAGAGAGAGAGAAGAAGGTGAAAGGTGAGTTTTCATCTCAAATATTTTAATAAAAAACAATAATTATTGTTTAGTGGGTGTTTTTTTCATTTGCAGGTAGAGACAACCCACCAGTTGTTGCGGCTCTTTGAAGAGAAAAACCCAAAGAGAGAGAGAGAGAGAGAGAGAGAGAGAGAGAGAGATTTGCAGATGGGATCTCATTTTCCTTACTGTTGCTTCACTTTTTACTAGTATTACTTCAGTTTCATTCATTCAACTAATACCCACATTTTATTCTCAGGTATTCTCAACTGGGTTCTCTTCTTTTTTGCTCATTCTTCGCGTTTTTGCTGTCGAGTTGTTTATTTTGATGTCTTTATTGGGGTTTTTTGTGTGTTTGACATGTGGGAAAATTTGGGTGGGGAATGTGAGTTGAGGGAGTGAGATTTGTTTGGTTAGTGAGAAAGTTGAAGTGAAAGAAAATAGAGAGAATGAGTGGAAATTTGATCTGATGTTTAATTGATCTAGGGGAACAAAGGGAATTTTAAATGTTTATTGTGTTTTATTTTGATTGTTTAGGCCTTAAAGGACAAAATTTTGTTGTAAGATTCCATGATTGGTTATTGGGGAAAAGAGGTTTTTAATTATTTAGTTTTTGTTATTTTTCATTGTTTTATGTGTTTATTTATCGTTGCAATTTGTAGATCGGTTATTGTTGTTAAATTTAAATCTGGCCATTGTTGGTTTTGTTATTTAGTTTCAATTGATTTATTGAGAATTTTGGTAACATTAAGGAAAAGGCTTCCTCTTAGGTTGCTTTGATGTGAATAAAACTCTCTTATTTTTGCATATCACTCTGAATTTTTTAGTTTGTATCTAGCTAGTTGCTCAAATTTCTGCTTTTGCTAATAACAATCCGACTGGGAAACCTACTTTTGTTGTGCTTAGTTGGAAATTGGAGATGACATCTAAAATTAAGGTGTTGATGGCATTTGTGTTTCTGTGATTTGTTGGCTGCAAGCTCAAGTTCCGAGCATCATATACTTTTGCCGTTATCTAGATTTACTGTGGCTTGGTCTTGATGACAGCAGTTTGTGAATTAGAATTTTAATTGTTGATGCATGGTTCTATATGACCAATTTGTTGTTCTAAAATGCTTCCATGCACTTTGACATTTGTCTTTACAGAGCAGGACTACAAATTCTTTGCGAGGTTTCTTAATTTCAGTTCTTGTGAAGAGCCTCGATGGGTTCCAGGTACCCATCTCATAAGCTCAGCAATGGCCTTTATGTATCAGGTCGGCCTGAGCAGCCTAAAGAAAAGACTCCAACAATGAGCTCAGTGGCCATGCCCTATACTGGTGGTGATATTAAGAAATCCGGAGAACTGGGTAAAATGTTTGATATCGATGGTGCTAAATCTAGGAAATCTGGGCCTATCACTGGTGCTCCTTCAAGGACTGGATCTTTTGGAGGGGCTACTACGCATTCTGGGTCAATTCCTAATGCTGCTGTTCGTTCTGGCTATAACGCCTCTGGTCCTATATCTGGGGGCATGTCTGGTTCAACTTCAATGAAGAAGACAAATTCTGGACCATTGAATAAACATGGGGAACCTATAAAGAAGTCATCTGGCCCTCAGTCTGGTGGAGTTACACGGCAAAACTCTGGCCCAATTCCACCAAATCTCCCTGCTACAGGTCTCATTACATCTGGGCCCATTTCTTCAGGCCCCCTAAATTCTTCTGGGGCCCCTCGAAAAGTATCTGGTTCTTTAGACAATGGAGGATCGTTCAAAACACACAGTTCCTCAATTGCAAATAATCAGGCTGTTACTACTATTAGTCAAGATGAGGACTTTTCCTTCAGGAAGAACTTTCCAAAGCCTGTATTATGGTTGGTGATTCTGATATTTCTGATGGGGTTCATTGCTGGTGGTTTTATTCTTGGAGCGGTTCACAATCCCATTCTCCTCATTGTTATTGTGGTTCTTTTTGGTGCTATTGCTGCAATATTTGTTTGGAATTCATGTTGGGGGAGAAGAGCTATTACAGATTTCATTGCACGTTATCCTGATGCTGATCTCAGAACTGCCAAAAATGGGCAATTTGTGAAGGTTACTGGGGTATGTTACTTTCTGCTTACAGAAATTATTTGTTTCTTTATTTGCTACTTTTGCAATTTGAGCTGACACAATGTAGTGGGATTAGTGAGAATTGAATAGTTTAGTGGTAGGAATGGAAGAGCTCAACAAGCTTTGCTAATCAGAAAGGATAGAGAAAATTGAAAAAGTTTTATAACAATAGATTTTCTATTAAATTTGATTCATTTGCATCTTCACAAATTTTTTAGGACAGTTTTGTGCTATAAGAATTACAAGGAACATTTTACTTTTGGTAATGAAGAAAGTCTTCAAGTTTTTGTTAGAATGAGAGAACTAATATCACAATCTAGCACTCTTAAATGCAATTAGTATTCTTTTTCCATAGTTTTACAAACCTTAACCCTAATTTAGAAATGACAAAAAAATAAATAAATCTACACTACAAATAATTAATAACAGTTCCAATGATAAATAAAGTGGTAATTTTCTCAAATAAATTTTGAAAAGTTCAATGTGAAGATTAATGGACCTGCTTCTTAAATTTTCCATTATGGAGAATCATACAAAGCAATGAATAGGCATCCATCTAAAAGATGAAGCTAAAGCATAACTTTAAGTCACTTTAATAATCAAAGAGGCACATAACTAATGATCTATACGGTCAACCCTGTGGTAGAAGTCCAAGTAAAAATAGAAGATCAATTCTTCTCAATCTTGAATTTCTTTTTCAGGACTTGAAACCTGTTGTCTTGCACCTTTAATTACTATCAGTACATCCCTTTGACCTTGTCCCATTATTAACTTCCTTGAAAGCTTTTCTTTGTCCAACTTTAGAATTGGAAGATAGTAAGTATCTTTTTTTACTTGACATGATATTAACATCCCTTAAAAGTTACTACATCTTTTGTCTTCATCATGTTGGTAGAACTTTGTAAATAAGAATGGACTAGTCATAACTAACATTCAAATAAACAATATGCACTCCAATCAGAAACATGTATACATGTAATATTATTTCATTCACAGATCTAATATACTTTTGTATTGCACATGTACATAGAATATACCATGGTACTGAATATTTTGTTAGATATTCTGTCTAAGTAAAATAATACATCACTAGCATAAATATTTAATGGTTAAACGAACAGCGTAGTAAGAACAACTGCATTAGTGACTTCCCATGGTTATAACTCTTACCGTGGTGTTTGAAAAAGGAAAAAAGGAAGGAAAAGAGAAAGGAACTAAGGCATGACACTGAAGGAAGAGCACTTGTGATGATAAAAATGATAAGACAAGAGGGCTTCATAAACTATTTTAACTGGCTGAAGTATAGTGGTGCGTTTCATAGTATTTCTTCTCTAGAAATTGGCTTTAGCTTATCTATTGTTACATGATAAAGCTGGAGGTCAAAGCAATCTTTACTCATCCTATATCAGCTCAAATTGAAAACAAAAAGTAATGGTCGGATGCTTGAACTTACATCTACATGGAATCTGATGAATATATCGATAGGAAGTTGATTTAGGTATATTCTCTCGTTTTTGTATTTTTTGTTGACAGTTGTATTGTGAGTAGCCCATTTATTAGTGTTTTTTTTTTTTTTTTTAAGGATTTTTAAAGTCAAAGCTTCCTAGTTAACAACATTTGTCGCTAACTAAATAATTGCTTCACGGCATCATAATTTAATAGCTTTCTTACTGGAAGATTTTGTTAGCTGCTTAAATAACTTCCTTAACTTGACATGAGCCAATAGTTTCCTTGACAGATAATTTATTGTATCAGGGCATGTTCTGGATTGAATTTCTTCATTGGAATTTGATTTTTTCCCCTTTTCTTATGCTTAAATGACAATTTTTTGAATGTCTGATGACATTTTTATTTTTCTTGTTGAAGGTGGTTACCTGCGGCAACGTGCCCCTTGAATCATCATTCCGAAGAGTTCCTAGATGTGTCTATACATCTACAAGTTTACATGAGTATCGAGCATGGGGTTCAAAACCAGCCAACCCTAAACACCGCCATTTTACATGGGGATTGAGGTCATTAGATGTAAGTAACCTAAAAGGCTTTTTCTTTTTATGTTTTGACCATAGATTTGTTTTCAAGGATCTGTTAGACCAAGGTCATGCCCCAAATGGCCATTTTTTTCTGTAGAAAAAAAAAAAAAAAAAAAAAAAAAATCTGAATTGATGATCTTCTCATTTAAGTCTTGATCTACGTGTTGGAAGCTATAGGAGTAGCCATCTCATGTTAAGTATCTGAAGTGAAGCATGAATGCCTGACACTATTTTGTTCTGGGATACCTTATGTTTCCATTGAGCAACAGTAGTCCTACCCTTGACATTTTCTTTTGATACTCTTAAAACCCTCAACTTTTACTGACTTCTAGAAAAGGAATATTATTGATCCTTCCAAGCTTGATAGTCAGGAAACTTTTAGACGCTTGGTTGTCAAGGACTTAACCGTGAGATTTCGAAGCTCATGTCTTATTGAATTTCTTTTTGTTGTTTGACAGAGGCACGTGGTCGACTTCTACATCTCTGATTTCCAATCTGGGTTGCGAGCTCTGGTTAAGACTGGAAATGGTGCAAGGGTAGCTCCATTTGTCGATGACTCTGTTGTTATTGATATTAAACCAGAAAATAAAGACATGTCTCCAGAGTTTGTCAGGTGGTTGGGAAAGAAAAACCTTTCAAGTGATGATCGAATGATGCGATTGAAAGAAGGGTAAGATACTCTCTACCGTTTAACTATTAAGTTCATCGTAGTCATTGGAATCTTGTATGTGTCCTAAGGTGTTAACATTGCAAAAACATACTAGTATTTTCACAAGGAATTCCTTATGGTCAATGTAATAAGTTGATGATCAAGAGTCTTGCAGCATTTATCATATTGGAAGATCGTTTATGGTTTCTGGGTTAATCTTGTGGAAAGTTGGGATTGCTGCTTTTGTAGGTACATCAAAGAAGGTAGCACAGTTAGTGTAATGGGAATCGTTCAGAGAAATGACAATGTGCTTATGATCATCCCTCCACCGGAGCCGATAGCCACTGGATTTCAATGGAGCAAATGTATCTTTCCAACAAGCCTTGAAGGTATCATTTTGAGATGTGAAGATACATCAAATAACGATGTCATCCCGGTCTAGTAAGTAGTGTATGTGCATCGCAAACTTCTTTATGTGTTTACCCTGCTGGAAAATATTAGTTCCCTCTACTAATTTGATGGTGGTGTGTGGTGGTTTTGTAGTGATAAGTAACCATTAGTATGATGGCTTAAAATGAGGTGTTGGGTTTCTTTTCTTATTATTATTTTTTTTTTTTTCCTTCTTTTTCCGTAAACTTTTGTATAGTTTTGGCGATTTCATTTCCATTTTTTAGGGCTTCAAAGCTTTTGTAATGGGGCTGGCTTGATTTAGTGGGGAATATTTGCTTGTTTGAGCAGATTTTTCTGTTATGTGGGTGAAAAGAAAAAAGGAAATGTCACAAGGTATTATTAGATTGTGTTTTACACTTCCACTCGGAACGTAAAATGTAATACCCCTGTTAAATGCTCAAAATTCTGTCAATGTAGCTTATTTTTTTTGTGTTATATTTGGTTCAGTCTGTAAACCAGTTATTTGATTTCTGTGTATTTACAATTACATTATTTTGATTCTATTTTCCTTTACTAGCGAATTGTTATAGAATGTCGTATTTGTTCGGTTCTAAAATCTCGTAATTGTATAATACGTTGAAGGATTGTAATTCGGGAAAATCTAGCCAGTGTCACTGGTGTGAAGTTGATTATTCAGTTTGATCACTTGTCTATGAAGAAATATTTTATGGGCCAACTGGATTTCCTTTTTATGCCAAGTTCATTTGATTCAAAATATTGAGGTCACTGCAAGAATGAATATGTTTTTCATTTGATCTTCTCGTTGCAAAGGCAAAGTTCATTTTAACACAAGGAAATCAATTTACAACAGAAAAATGGCCAAACTTCATAAAATATCCACTCTTGGAATTCTCCCCTCAACCTTTTTTTTTTTTTTCCCCCAACATTACCAAAAAAAACCCTTAAAAATATTAGTAAAATCCTCCCAAAATATCAAAATTACAATGAAAAAAAAATCTTAATATTGCCCATTTGACATGGAATTTATATTATATATATTGGTTTGAAAACAAGGATGCAAAAAATTGTATGAAAATGCAATTGGTAAAAGAATAAAAAGTTTGCAAAAACAGTTTTTGAATACAATTCTAAAAGTTTAGTGTAAAATTAGAAAATAATTACAAGTCGCATTTATAGTTTTCTATGATTTTTAATCTGAAAACAGTTTTTGATTATCACAAATAAAAAAGACTTCTCTCAAAAATTATTTCGACAGTTGAGATTAATTAATCTTTTATGGTGGAAGAAATTAACTCAAAAATTAAAATCAAAGGGAATTAAAATTTAGTATCTTTTTAAAAAAAAAAAAAAAGCTTAATAAAGTTATGAAATTAATTATGTAAAATATAGAAGATAAATATCTGTTGTGAGAGGTCCCTACTTAATACTAATCTTAAAAACAAGAGGGTCTACAATAATTAAGTCAAACTTTAAAGAAAGTAAATGAAACTTATCCTTTTATTTATCAATTGTTTCTTCAATTAAACATTTTCAATTCATTTTTTAAACCAAATATTTTTACATTAATTTCTATTGACGCTTTATTTTGACACCAACGACCTACATGTGTAAAATGCTAAGCTATTTTTAAAAATCACACGTAAATGATTATGAGAGAGCTAATCAATATAATTGAATGCAAAGACTGAATAATAAATGAGAAATAATTTTTAAAGCAGTTCGAATGCTTAAAGTGATTCATATGTCTACTGTTTCTTTTACATATGATAGTTTACAAGAGATCGCGTGTAACGAACAGTGAGCAGAGGTACAATGACTGAGTATTCAGAGAGAATATCAAGTCAATTTCTTTCTCATAGGTTATCTTTTCTCTGAAAATAAAGATTACAATCAGAATCAGAATGAGGGATCAGGATCCCAAAAAATGAGAGGAAAGTCCTCTATTTATAGTAGCTGAATTCAAGGTAATGATTATAAATCTGCAAGTGGGTAGATAGGTGTTGTGCAAGTCCTTCCTTGCCTCCCATTGACTGATAACTTATGAAATATTCTCAAATTATCTGAGGCTTGGACATGTGTGTAGTTCTCAGTCACTTATAGATAAAACCTGAATCTGTTGGGTTGATAACAACCATATTCTTTTTGTTTTGGGATTACGTGACAGCTATTAGATAGTACAAAAACTTCATAAACTCTTATTTGGTACTTACTAATGTAAACTTTTGTCAGCCTTGATTATTTAAGCATAACAATTTCAAAATAAATATATATATTATTTTTAAGTAATTGAAAGTAGTATTGAAAACACAAACCTATTATTCAATCTTGACCATTAAGTCATACTTGTCTCAAGACTCTAGAGTCTTTTTCAACTTTAATCTTAAGAAATCTTCTACATTTACCAAACTACCCTTAGTTGGATTTAACCATTGAATTTCTACTATTTCTATCCAAAATTATCTTACTAGCAAACTTAGTTCATTAAGTAAACACTTTATTAAAATTTTAGAAATTTTTTTTTTTTTTTTATGAAAATTCAGCAATTTTTTATTCTTATTAAAAATACATTAGTCTAGTAAATTGTTATAATTAGGAAAAATATGTGAAATAAAAATATAATTTTAAAATTTAGAGTTAATTTCATTCACAACCCAGAAAATGCTTAAGTCCAAGTGTGGTAAAATATTTTGAAAATTATTAATTACCTACTTGAAAATATCAAAAACCCTCTTAAAATATAAAAACAAAATGCTAAAAATATTCAAAACCGCTAGGTGGCTTGAGGCATACCAATCTTTTAAGGCGAACAAAATTAACCTAAAATTGTCTATAAAAAAAGGTAACAAGACCTTTTCTTTTTTTTTGGTAATCGGGGGTGGTCGGACCAGCTTGGACGCACCTCGACTAATTCCTTGGGGTCCTGAAGTTAACGACTAAGTAAACTCTCCAGTGGCCACCTTATTAGTAATTGAAAGAAATTAAACTAAAAAACTTTTGAGTAATACATCCAAGGGTGTTTATTGCTCCGCTCGACCACCTATGGGTAGTTAATAAGACCAATTTCTTCTACAACATAGGATCATAATTGAGATAATTTGACTCGAAGAATAATATCAATGACTATCACTAAATCATTCAAAACAAATTAGCAATATCAATGGATTTGATTCTTCTTTTTTCTTTTCTTAACAAAAAAAAAAAATAAAAAAAAAAATAATAATAATAATAATAATTGCAAAATATAAACAAACAATGAATTAGAATTATATAATTAAAGGCAAGAAAGTTGGAAACTTGAGAAACGAGGGAAAATAAAATAAAAAAGTTTGGTGATAACGTGGATATTTCAACATTCATTGTTGTCTCCCACTAATGAGTCTTTGAAATAAAATATTTATTCCAAAAATATAAATATTTTAAGAAATCCATTTTATATTTTATTTTTCCTATGAATATGACATGTTGACTTTGGTTAAATCAATTTCTTATCTTAATTATAAATTTCCTATTGTGATAAAGACCTAATGTGGATTTGATATGACACTTCTTAGTGTTGTTTATTGCTCCTTAATTTTATTTTTAATTAGAATTAAGAAATTAATTATTTTATTTTATTCAACAATTATTAAAGACTACTAATTGGGCAATAAAATAAAACACACATGTTCATTTTCAATTAAAATTTATTAATTTAATCCTTTATTTTTTTTTTTGCCACAACCATATAAAAATTAGAGTATAATCCTATTTCTCAAAAAATAAAAAAATATCGTGACGATTTTCTGAAACTATTAAATACACCCTTACTTGTAAATAATTGTAATACAGTATTTATTTATTTATTTATTATATTATTATTTTTAGGTTTGAGTTGTGTATCAAATTTCACAAAATCCTCACAGAAAAAAAAATAAAAAAAAATAAAAAAAATAAAAGAAGAGGGTATTATTGTAATTTCAGAAAGTAACAAATTATATCATGTCACTAAGTACCTAACAAAGAGAGAAAGTATCTTTAAAACAGTGGCATCAAAGAGGAGAAATAAAGCATTTCCAGGGAACAATGATCATCTTATTTATTTATTTAATTTATTAAACTAATAAAAATAAAATGATAACAATTTTATCTTAATAATCATTTTTGCTTCCGTTTGGAGGCTTTTGCCGGACGAGATAACCCACCAGCTATTGCGGTTCTCTCAAGTGACACACATTTTTTTTTTTTTAATCATTTCAGTTAATCAATTAATCCCCTGAGGTATGATAAAGTAATTAAAATCTCTCTAATGTTTAAAAAATAACAGAAAACCCCCTAAGTTTATAGATGTTAAAGAGAGAAAGACTTAGTCTAGTCTACCCCCAGGTTTAATCTAATAGCCAAGATCATTATGACTTTTCAAATATTAGATATACCCCACCCCAAACTAACAACCTTCAATCACGTCATGATTTTGAAATAACATTTTTTACACAAACACGAGTGAATTATAAGTAAATCAACCGTTTACCTTTATATATATGTGAGTGAATTATCTATTTTGCCCATACATGGGTTAATGTATGCCATAATCAGCGGAGGTTTATCTTAGTAGTTTAAATTGCATAATCTGAACTATGGTAGACCCCAATCTCAAGGGGCAAGCAATCATCTCAGTGTTAAAATAAATGGTAGAGGGTAATTAGATAATATTTATAAATTTTAATGGTTTACTAATAGTTGTTTAACGGCGGGGAAACTTTTGTTATTTTAGAGACCTCGGGAGGATTTTTAGTACATCATACCTCAGGGGTATTTATTTAACTTTTAGAGAGAGAAATTATTACTTTTTATTTTAATTTTAATTTTCTAGCGAGAGAAACAAAAACAAAAACCGCAACAGATTTCTTGTTCTCTTTGTTTCTGCTTCTTCTACTTACTTTTAACTACTTGCTGTTATTATGTCTTCACATCTTGAGATGTCAGATTTCTTCCTCTTCTTCAGTTGTTGCTGTTGTTACTGCTACTGCCACTACTGCTACTAAAACTCAAACTACTTTTACAGGTCAGTTTGTTTGTATTTTTCTTAATTCCCATTTTGTCCTTCCCTCTATGCCTACTCTACTCTTTAGCTTTGAACCCACCTCAAATCTCTGCTTCTTTTCCTAGATCTTTCCCATTTTCTTGGGTTTTGCTCAAAATGGTCATCTGGGTATGCTTTTGTTTCTTCAATTCGCCTCAAAAATTGCTTCTTTAAAGTCCTTTAATGGTAAAACTCGAAGTTTTTGGTGCTTATTTGTGGTTTTGTTGAACTGTTTTGTTTTTTATTTTTTTTTTGTTTGTTTCTTGGGAAATGTTGGATGAGAGAAGGAATTTAGAGGGTCCAATCTGGGGGATATGTTGATTTTTTTTATGTTTAGCCGAGCTCTTGAGCTTGAAAAATCTACTTGTTAGTGGTAGATCTTGTCTTATTTCAATGATTTTTTGGTCAAAATGGTGATGTGGGTATGCTTAGTTTCTTTGATTTGCTTTTTGAGTTTGGTTCTGTAGTTGTAGCTTGTGAGATGTATACAAATGTTACTTTTTATGTGAAACCTTCCTTAAATGGAACGTTTTGGTCTCATTAGACATTTATTCTTTTTCCTTGTTTGATAGTGGAGTAAAAATAAGATACGGGAAGAACTTTCAAGTATTGAAACTTGGATTTCTGCTCAAGTGAAAGTAAATTCTTAGATCTTTTAGGATTTTGTTTGAAATGGTAATTGTGGGTAGATTGATTCTGGTTCTGTGGATGGTTGAAGTCTACAAATGTTATGTTTTGACTTCTTTGGGATTAGATGATATTGATATTCCAATGAAATTTTGTAATTTACTTTTTAGAGCATAGTGTTACCAGAAATCTGAAGGATAGGTGGAAACATGAGAATATTTTATCATTGAAAGCTTCATATGACAATAACTAACTGACAACTTGACTCTCACAATTATACAGTTTTCTTCTTCTTCTATATTTTTTTCTTTGTTCTAACGTTCTTGGTTTTCTCTACTCAAGTGATCCTACTTTGTTTTAGTTGCATAGAAACAGTGCGGTGTTAAGGATATTCAAAATTTGAAATTGTGAAATTTTAGTCCAGACAAGTTCATCAGTTAAAAACTGCCTTTTATTGGCTCGTATAACTTTTTGTAGGTTTTGCTTTCCTAAGTAGTGAATTCTGTTGGTTTCTGTAACTTTTCTGATTGGGCTCTGATGTTCTTCTCTTGCAATTACAACTAACTTTTATTTCATATTTTTAATTAAATTTAAGTAACTTAATTTTTGAAATTGTTTTGTTGCTTAAAATGTAGAGAAAGAGAAAATAAGCAGCTTCTTTAATTCTCTAGTCCTCCTTCTTCTTCTTGCTGTAGTTCTTGGGGTTGCTGGGTATTTAGATATGGAATTAGGCCCATTGTAGAAACTCAGAGACTTGTATTTGGGCTATTCAATTGATTTATCGCTCTTCATTCCTTTGGGTATTAACTATTTTATGTTTTCATTTGGATGCGCCATGAGAGTAATCTGATTTTAGAAATCCTGTTTTTGCACATTTTAGCTTCATCAAGTTTGTTCAACTATGTTAGTAAAATTTTCACTTTAGTAGGAACTGTCCTTTTACTAGTTTTAGATTCAATTTGGAGCTAGTTACCATGATTTGAACTTTGCATTTCGTTTTTGGTTGAGATTTTGCTGCATTGTGTTTCTCAGATTATCTTTAATCACCCATTTCATTTGCTCTATTGAAAGTCTGATAGTTTCTCAATTTGAAAGTCTGATATGATATTAACTATCAAAACTTTTGGGCTTCTTTCTTTGTCTTGTCCAGTTGCTCCAATGGCACTACTATTAACTACATGAATAAGTTTAAACTTGTCTTGTTTATATATCTGTATATGCTTGTGCGGGTTATCGGGTTCTTTTTATCATTTTCCTTTTAATAGGAAACTGATAGAAATTTTAGTATTAATAATTAGTTATATACTTATTGATTTACGGCCCTTGATAGTCATGAAGTAACATCCATAATATTTTTTGTTGGTGAACGTTGCTTCTGACTCCTATTGTATTTTCTGTTAATAGGTGGGCTGTGAAAATCTCATCACTGTGCTGCTAGTAGTGTATTGTGTGTAGTATTCTGGGCAGTCTCATATATAAAATAGATGGGTTCTAGATTCCCATCTCATCAACTCAGCAATGGCCTTTACGTATCGGGCCGGCCTGAGCAGCCGAAAGAAAGGACACCAACAATGAGTTCAGTAGCCGTGCCTTATACAGGTGGTGATATCAAGAAATCTGGAGAACTAGGGAAAATGTTTGATATCCCTGTTGATGGTTCCAAGTCTAGAAAATCTGGACCTATAAATAGTGCTCCTTCCAGGACCGGATCTTTTGGAGGTGCTGCTTCGCATTCAGGTCCAATCATGCCTAATGCGTCTGCTCGAGCTGGTTTCACATCCGGTCCTGTAGCTTCTGGAGGGATGTCTGCTTCGGCTTCATTAAAGAAGTCAAACTCTGGACCACTTAATAAACATGGGGAGCCTGTAAAGAAATCTTCAGGCCCTCAATCGGGTGGAGTAACACCAAGTGGCCGCCAAAACTCTGGTCCCCTTCCTCCTGTTCTCCCTGCAACTGGTCTCATTACGTCTGGACCCATCTCTTCAGGTCCACTAAATTCGTCTGGGGCCCCTAGGAAGTTATCTGGTCCTTTGGATTCTATGGGATCAATGAAAATACCAAGCTCTATTGCTCATAATCAGGCTGTGACTGTTCTTAGCCAAGATGAGGACTTTTCCTTCAAGAGGAATTTCCCAAAGCCAATATTGTGGTCATTGATTCTACTTTTTGTGATGGGCTTTATTGCTGGTGGTTTTATTCTTGGCGCAGTGCATAATGCCATTCTTCTCATTGTTGTCGTGGTTCTTTTTGGTGCTGTTGCTGCTTTATTTGGTTGGAATTCTTGTTGGGGAAGAAATGCTATTATCGGTTATATTGCTCGTTATCCAGATGCTGAACTTAGAAATGCCAAGAATGGCCAATTTGTGAAGATCTCTGGGGTAAGCAAATCTTATTATAATTGACAGATTGCACTGTCTGCTGCACTTGTGTGTGAATCTAGATTTTTATACTATTTTTCTGATTCAGTGGAGTTGCATCCATGATTGTTGCAAAGAGTTCATTGTGACTGTGAGAAGAGGATTTAATAGATATAGCTCTTGTATATAATGCCATTTAATCGTTTAGATGTGATTTTGACTAAAATATACTTTCAAGCATGTTTATGGTGCTTGTTTTCATGGTTATTTGTAATCCGTTTGCAAATATTCAAATGATGTTGATCTAAAATGTTTAGTTATGTTCTTGAAGGTGGTCACCTGTGGTAATGTGCCTCTCGAGTCATCCTTCCAAAAAGTTCCTAGATGCATATATACATCCACAAGTTTGTATGAGTATCGAGGATGGGATTCTAAAGCTGCCAACGCTACACATCGTCGTTTTACTTGGGGCCTCAGATCGCTAGAAGTGAGTAATTGAAAATTTGAAATGGTAATTTTTTTTTTATAATTTTTCGTATGTGAAGGACATTCGTTGCTGCTTCCTGAGTTATTTTGGAGAATTCCTGTTTACTAGAACCTGGATTTGACGCAAGGGTGCTTATATGCCATTATCAAGGGACTGTTGTCTGCTTAGGAATAAACCTTTCACTTAAGCTGCTACATTTCAACTTGACGCAATTCTGTTATATGTCTTTGTACAGAGGCGTGCAGTTGACTTCTACATCTCTGATTTCCAGTCTGGGTTAAGAGCATTAGTTAAAACTGGGTATGGAGCAAGGGTGACACCATATGTTGATGACTCCCTTGTCATAGATGTTAATCCAGCTAAAGAAGAGTTGTCTACGGAGTTCATCAGGTGGTTGGCAGAGAGGAACCTCTCAACTGATGATCGTGTAATGCGATTGAAAGAAGGGTAAAAATGATCTCTTTGATATCATCCTTTTACGCAATAAATATTGGTGCATATCTGGAACTTTTTCATTTCTCCGTATCTGTGCATGCTGGAAAGGGGGGATATACCTTACAAGCAAATTCAAGTATTCAAATAAGTTGGTATGTTTTCTACGAGTATCTACATCTTTTATATTTGTATTCGTTTTATAGGTACATCAAAGAAGGAAGCACCGTTAGCGTAATGGGAGTTGTTCAGAGGAATGACAATGTGCTCATGATTGTCCCTCCACCTGAACCCATCACAACAGGATGCCAATGGGCCAAATGTATTGTTCCCGCTAACCTTGACGGTATTGTATTGAGATGTGAAGATGCGTCAAAGAATGATGTCATACCAGTTTAGTACTATGTGCATTGTAAGCTTTTTCTTCTATTTCTCCTTAAAAAAATATTCTTTTCTTCTTTCTTTTGGTCTATTAATATTTGATGCTGGGGATAGTAAAAGTGGTAGCATTCAGGAGTGACGGGTGATTGTGATGCTTGAATATCCCAGTTGGTGGCAGTGTTTTCTCATATTAACTTGTTGTATAGCTCTTCAGGGTGTCTTCCCCTTTATTTTTTATTTTTTCGTTTTTAGGGTGTGATGGCTTTTGTGAGAAGGGTTTGGTTGAGCCATAGGGAAATTTATGTGTGAGCAGACTGCGATTATGTTAAATAGAACAAAAAAAAGTGTTATGAGTTAACTAGTATATTGTCTTCACATGCAATCTATAGTGTCTACTTCTCTTGATGAAATTTGTACAAGTATTAGCTTGTTGATGCAATTTATATCGAATGACTTATATTCAAGCATGATTCCTTGACACAAGACTTGCTTCTAAATTTAACCATCCGATGTACTGAGAAAGCCTTGGTAATTCCCCCTCCTCTCTCATGTAATCCTTTCCTTGATGTGTGCTTATCTTTTCCGAAGTTTTGTAAGTTGAACTTCTTAACAAGCCTTATCAATTGTGTATGGTCAGACTACATTACTGGGACACTTTTTTTGCATAAACGGCACAACGGCAATTCTGGTAGGAAATTTGTAACTCTCACTAGTAGATTTTATAAGATTGAAAGGTAGAGATGTAGTTGAGGTTTAAGAGTTTACAAGACAAGGAAATCCTTGCAGACGCATTGTTCATTGTTTGGGATGCTGATACAGAGCTTATGAAGGACGAGTACCGGTTCAGTAATTTATTTCCATTATAAAACTTGTAATATATGTTATAAATTTATTGCTGAAATGTTACAAGTTTGATGTGGGGTGTTGATATATTCCAATACCGGAGCTCAAATCTTTATAGGCCATTTTAGATAGGAAGAAATGTTGTATGCCTCACTTTAGGGCATGTTTGGTTCGCGACCGATGAATCAATTCTTGAAGTCCTGATTCTCTTATTCACAATGAGTAATGTTTATGTTAATTTTGTATCTTTTAAGTGATATATAGAGTATCAAGATTGTGTATAGTTAACCACCATTGGGTGGACTGATAGTAAAAGAGTAAAGAGGTCTAACAGACTAACATATGTTTTTGAGTTCGAGTTCTTTTGTCATTAATAGAGGTGTTCACTGAGGGGATATATCTGATCGTTCAGTTTCAGGAGATTAGTTGAGATGCTTGTAAGTTGGTTGGATGATCACCAAAAAAAAAAAAAAAATAATAATAGATATGGGATAGTTATGGCCTATGGGTATTTCTTGGATATTCTGGCATAACTCTGAAGGTGTTGATGGAGAAGAAGTTTTATCTCTATGTCTAGGGTTGGGTTTCATTTTATTTTATTTTTAGAAGATAAAACATTTTATTATTCTCAGTCATGCTATTAGCTTCCGAATATCAATTTTGTTACACTATCTTGAATCCTAGAAAGTATTTCAATTTTGTTGTAATATGATTTTGAATAAGCTAACTAATATTTATAACCTAAAAGTGGGTAGAAAAATTAATTATTTATAAACAATATGCAATTAAAAGTAAATTTAATAATTTAATATAGAGTTAAATTTATAATTAAAAAATTTAATTAAAAAATAAAGTTTCTTTGAATAATGTCTTAAATTTATCCTAAATTTTGTGAATAATGTCATATATTTTTAAATTTTGAATTATTATTAATTTTATAAATAACTTTGACAAAGAAGCCCAAACTTTGAAGACTCGGCCCGAATCTAGTTTGGGTAATCCTGAAAACGGTCGGGTCCAAAACTCCAAATCCAATCTTGAAAAACATACTCAGTCTGGACTCGTGTTTTATTTTATTTATTTATATAATTTAACTATACATAGGGTCCACGTGTTGTGCATATATGTTTATTCAATGTTTTTTAAATAGATCGTAAACAAATTTATTATAATAAAATAAACTAATTAGATTAAGACATAATAATTGTTAAATTATACAAATTTTAAAGTATATATATAAAGTTGTGTTAAAATAAAATTAATAATTGTATTTGTATAATTATTAATATCAATTATAGGTAGATGTCATTAAATCATTCATCAAACTTGAGAAGATCATCTGAATATTATATGGTCTAATTATATTTTCAGGGTTATCATCTTGTACAATTGATATTATTTTTGTAGACATGTCTTTGATATTCGATGTCAATATTTCGTAGTGAATTGTGTATGATATTTAATATAATTTGAATATTATTAAGATTAACTATTTAAACTTAAAATTTATACTGACCTTCCATAATTTAAATTTATTTTCAAGTTGCGTTGCGCATGTATGTTTATTATATATATATATTTTTTTTTACATTATTATTGATTTTTTTTTTTTGTGTTTTAAATATATATTTTCTATATTGAAGTTCATTTCATATTGAATTGACAATTAAAAAATCAATAAATAAAAAATCCACAAATTGAACTCAAAGTCTATATCATCATGATTCTTCTCAAATATGTCACCATTTGACATATGCAACCAAAGTTTAAAACTTTGTGAAGAAAAGCAAAAAAACTTGCAGGATAACCTACCGGGTATTATTGATAAGTTTATAAATCAATCAGAAAAAAGAGAAACTTTGTTGAAAAATGTGAACTTTTAAGCAAGAGAGTTGTAGAGTCAAAGGAAAAAACTTATTTTGATTGTTGAGAAAAGAAAATGAATTATTTTTATTATTATTATTTTAGAAATAAAAAAATTAAGAATGTTGAGAAAAGAACTCACATAGAAAGCAACAAAAATTCCAACAGTATAATCTGAAGGCAACTTAATTGAAACATTGAAGAAGCCATGAATATAAAGGTCCCGTGACACAAATCTATTTGTTGTAATTGGAATTGACCACCACATATAGCAAAAAAAGCATTTAATGATAGCATCCTAAAGAAAGACGATAATTGTAAAACCCACAAAACCCACAAATCAAACAACAAAATCAATCCAAAAATCAACAAAAAGAGATAGAACAAATACAATTAAAACCACAACGCAAAAATGAAGTTGTTTTATATGTGCGATGATAAAATGAATGGTTCGGCAACAGACCTATAATTATCCAAATTCACCATATAATATATCAAATTAAAGCTCTATCTTTCTAATTTCCAAAGAATTAAACTGCTCATCAATTGGATTTTTATTGAGCAAGTTATGACTAATTTACTACTAACTATTTAGTGGAAATTGAGAAACAGGGAAAACTGAAATGTGTGTGATGATAAAAAAAATGGTTCGGCAGTGGGGCTACAGTTATCCAAATTAAGTATATAATATATCAAATTAAATCTTTGTTTATCTAGTTTCTAAAGATTCAAACCTCTCATTAATTGGATTTTTATTGAGCAAGTTATGGTCAATTTACTACTGACTGTTAAGTGGAAACTAAAATATGTGTGATAATTAAAAGAATGGCTCGACAGTGGGGCTACAATTATCCAAATTAAGTGTATAATATATCAAATTAAAGCATTGTTTGTCTAGTTTCTAAAGATTCAAACCTCTCATCAATTGGATTTTCATTAAGAAAGTTATGGTCAATTTACTACTGATTGTTCAGTGGAAACCAAAATGTGTATAATGATAAAAGGAATTGTTCGGAAGTGGGGCTCCAGTTATCCAAATTAAGCGTATAATATGTCAAATTAAATCCATGTCTATATAGTTTCTAAAGATTCAAACCTCTCATCAAATGGATTTTTATTGAGAAAGTTATAGTCAATTTACTCTTGTCTATTTAGTGGAAACCGAAATATGTGTGATAATAAAAGGAATGGTTCGGCAGTGGGTTTACAGTTATCCAATTTAAGCATATAATATATCAAAATAATGCCATGTCTGTCTAGTTTCTAACGATTCAAAAATCTCATCAATTGGATTTTTATTTAGAATGTTATAGTCAATTTACTACTGACTGTTAAGTGGAACCAAAATGTGTGTGATGATAAAAGGAATGGTTCGACAGTGAGACTACAGTTATCCAAATTAAGCGTATAATATATCAAATTAAATTCTCATCTGTCTAGTTTCTAAAGATTAAAACCTCTCATCAATTGGAATTTTATTGAGCAAGTTACAGTCAATTTACTACTGATTATTAAGTGGAAACCAAAATGTGTATGATGATAAAATGAAGGTTTACTAAAGCTACATGGTTCGGCATCAAACATCAGTTGATATTTGTTAAATAAATTTAATTAGATATATTCAGCAACAACCTCTTTTCATGATATATGTATGTAACATAAAAATATATCAACAAAAAGAGATAGAACAATTATAATTAAAATTACATATCAATATTTGTTTTCCTTTAAGGATAATAATAATGGTTCGGTATATTACGAATGGTTTACTAAAGCTACATGGTTTGACAAAAAACATCAGATGATATTTTTGATACAAATAAAATTATTTATATTAAAAAACAACATGTTTTCGATATACGTATGTAACATAAAAAAATATCAACAAAAAGAGATAGAACAAATATAATTAAAAATACATATCAATATTTGTTTCCTTTATCATCACTAAAATTGAATTGGTTTTATATGTGTGATCATAAAATGAATGGTTTAGTAGCATGTCTATAATTATCCAAATTCATCATATAATATATCAAATTAAAGCTCTATCTTTCTAGTTTCCAAAGATTCAAACCGCTTGCCAATTGGATTTTTATTGAGTAAGTTATGACCAATTTACTGCTGATTATTTAGTGGAAATTGAGGAACATGGTAAACTAAAATATGTCTGACGATAAAATGAATGGTTTGGAAGTGGGGCCACATTTATCCAAATTAAGCGTATAATATATGAAGTTAAAACGCTATCTGTCTAGTTTCTAAAGATTCAAACCTCTCATCAATTGAAGTTTTATTGAACAAGTTATGGTCAATTTACTACTACCTATTTAGTGGAAACCGAAATGTGTGATGATAAAAGGAATGGTTCAGCAGTGGAGCTACGGTTATACAAATTAAGCATATAATATATCAAAGTAAATATCTATCTGTGTAATTTCTAAAGATTAAAACCTCTCATCAATTGGAGTTTTATTAAGCAAGTTATGGTCAATTTACTACTAACTGTTTAGTGGAAACCAAAATGTGTGTGATGATAAAAGGAATGGTTTGGTAGTGGGGTCACAGTTATCCAAATTAAGCGTACAATATATCAAATTAAAGCTTTTTGGTCTAGTTTTCAACCATTTAAACCACTCATCAATTGGATTTTTATTGAGTAAGTTATGGTTAATTTATTACTGACTATTTAGTGGAATTAGAGAAACAAGGAAAATTGAAATGTGCGTGCTGATAAAATGAATAGTTCGGTAGTGGGGTTACAGTTATCCAAATTAAGTATATAATATATCAAATCAAAGCTTTGTCTGTATGGTTTCTAAAGATTCAATCCTCTCATCAATTGGATATTTATTGAGCAAGTTATGGTCAATTTTCTACTGATTATTAAGGGGAAACCGAAATACGTGTGATGATAAAATGAATGGTTTACTTAACCCAAATTTAAGGGATTATCATATTAGGACTGATAAGAAATATTTCAAATAACACTTGTTAATTGAAAAATGGAATCAGCCAAAATTAATTCATTTAACATATATACTCGCACGTCAGCAGGACACAAACAATTAATCATTCATAAGCAAATTAAAATACACGAACGTTTTTACAGAAAATATATTCAATAGAATTGAACGGTTTCTACTAATATAGATATGCCACATACTTACAGTTCAGCTGACAATAGAATCATCCTCGATTTGATTTTAGTGAAGTATATGAACATTTCCTTGTAAACAAACATAAAAAATTTAACTGATCTTCACGTTAGGATTGTTAAGGAACAATTATTCATTCGTATAACAATTGTTACCTGAAAACTAAATCAACAAAAGTTAATTAATTTTCATATTATAA